TGGATGGCTGAATGGTTAAATGGATGGATAAGAAGCACATATTCAATAGCCTAAAATAGTTGAAAATGTACGCCAACGTTTATTTCTTTTTTTCCGTCTAAAACTTTTTTTTTTGTTGTTGTTTCCTACCATATCATCATCATCATCATCCATATGGGATTCTAAAGAATTTGAAAAGAAATTCAATTTGCGTGTGTGTGTGTGGTATATTTATGATTTTTTGTTTTCTTTCCAATTTCAAATTCTATTAGGATTTTTTTTCACTTTCATTTTACATTTCAATCATCATATCGAGGCATTATTCAGAAACCAAGGTGATGATGAAAAAGTGTTTGTTTGCTTGCTTCTTTTATTTATTCAAAAAAGATTGAAAGATCATTTTTCTTTCACCAAAGGTTTTCATTTCATTTGTAATTCCATTCGAGAAAACTAAAGCAAACAAACAAACAAACAAAGATAAGGTGTGAAAGGAAAGATTCTTCTTGGATTTTTCTCTCTCTATATCGAATCGAAAATTGACGATATTTTTCCGGTTTTTTTTGGTCCGGATTTCTTACACGAATGTCCAAGTTTAAAAGTTTTTTTTGCTTTGCATCAAGAAAGAAATCGATCAAGAAGATTGATTCTTTCCTGCCTATCCAGTAGAACAAACGGGGAAAAAATTGGAAAACAAAATGGAAAAACCTTTTCTTTCTTTCCTGAAAGCAAAGAATAATAAATTCAAATTTTTTTTGTTGAAAAGTTTGAAAATTATTATTCAATATGAAATGTGGATGAATGTTTGACAAAAAAACAAAAAACAAAACAAAACAAAAGCAAACTTATTCAAAATATTATTTTAAAATTCAAATTTTTGCGTTTTACGTTTCGCAAAATGCTGGAAAAAAAAGGATTTCTGTCATTTTGAATTGGCCATTTTTTTCCTATTGTTTTTTTCCCATTTATTTGTTGTTGAAGGGTAGATTTGAATATTTTAACCATTTTAAATCATCATCATCATCATCATCAAAACCAGGTCTTTTTGTTTGTTTTTTGTTTTGGTTGGTTGTTTTCCAAAAA